GTCAACTCCCACAAGAGAGTGCGGCCCAGGACATCGTCTCCATTCCTCAGAAGCATCGTGGGGTCCAGGTGCTGGCAATTAATTCCTTGTATGCGGCTGCCCAAGCTAGACAAGAATTTTCCGGCATTGCAGTGTTGGTGCTGAGATGTTCGGGTGACTGTGGGATACAGGCACCTTGGTCTCTTGGATTGCACGTGCATGTCGGGCGACAAAGGTCTACGCATCCTCTGTCGATGCGCTCATAATCATCGCACCTCCTACGCTGCATGAGCAGACGGGTCAACCACTCGGCCCCCTTCCTGCAGTCGGGGAAACCTGCAGTTTCCCATTAAAGTAGACAAAAACTGTGTTTCAGTCAATCCATGTGCCTCTTTGGCCCGGACAAGGACAGTATTGGAAGTCAGTGTTGTGTCGAGTGCCTGTGTATAGGCAGTTTTGAAGTAGGTGCAGGCAGATTTAAGGAGATGCAGCCAGCTTTCGCCGTTCCGAATCTGCTGGTCATGCCTGCCAAGGCTTCGACACATACAAGACACGCGTCTGGACTCGTGTCGAGCAAGTTGCGCACCTGTCGGCGCATGGCATTGACAGCTTGTTTTTCTACAAGCCCGGATCTAAGTGTTTGCTGCAATTACAGCAAAAGAGGGGTGGGGGTGCCGGAGTCTGCATGCTGCATCACTGCAGACGGGCATTCGTCCCGTATTTCCGGAACAGCCACTTCTCCATGAGGTAATAAGATGCAAAGCTTCAACTTGTCTGCTACGCTGCTACACAGTCAAGGCCCACTGGCTTGGAGCCAGTCGACTTGAAATGGATGGAGGAGCCATGGGCCTTTGCTCGTCTGAGTACCATCTCGATGCATCTGATCAGTCTCCAGGATGTGGTGCGGGTCTTCGACGGGCACACTACGTGCTGTCACAGAAGGCCAGCTGCTCCGGCTCTAGGTGCCAGATCTAAGCTAGCATTACGAGCCAGTGCATCGAATGCATACATCTCTAGGGACCCTCAACCGCGAAGCAAGCTGTCACACTGGCTACTTTCTGCAGATCAACCTGGCAGGCACGAGAACTTTGTGGCTTGCGACGCATGGCTTCACATACGAGTCCAGTCCTTTCGAGCCTGCCAAACCTTAACCTCCAGTCTCGGAACCGCACCTTACCACGGCACCACTACCTGCTGCTGCTGCTGCTGCT